GGCTCTATCCACAGGGCTGTCCCCAGGGGAGTGTGGGGCTCGGGACAAATCAGATCCCGACCGCTTGGGGGTGCCACTCTGCATTGGTGGCTGGGCTGGTGGGATGGATCTGGCCTGGTGCTGGGCTGCCTGCTGCTGCTGGCAGTTGCCAGCGCCTATCGCGGGTCTATTGTTGGCCACAGTGGCTCAGAACTCCGGCCAGGGCAGGGGACTCGCTGCACTGAAACGTGGGCGGCAGAGCCCCAGTTGCGTGGGGCAGCAGCCAGGACCCCGGTCGCAGGACAGCAGCAGAGATCCTGGGCGTGAGGCGGCAGCCGAGAGTCCAGGCGCGGGGCTGCCAACCGGGAGCCCGGGGGTGCTGCAGCACCCTCCGCACCCCTAGTTCCCTCACCTATGTCTTCCGGAACCAACCATGCTGGCCAATCGCACTGGCCCACGGGAGCCCCCAAAGCGCAGGGCCTGGAGCAGACACCCTGATTCACCCTACCCAAGGGATGGCTCTGTCTATCCAGGCCAGCCCACCCCTCACTCCAGCACATCCAGTCCTCCCACCATTCACGCACTGTGGACCCTGGATACAGAGAACGCCCTCTGCAGGGCCAGGACTCTGGGGATGGCACTGTAGAAGTGGCTGAGCTTCCTTTTTTCATGAGGGGGTGTGAGGGGTGACATCTGCACGTGAAAGGGTTCCCTGAAGTCACAGATCTTGGGGGGATAACTTGGGCCTCTATCTTTTGTGCACAGAATTGCCCTTGTAAGTGACCAAACTGCACACACAAATGCTGGTGCATGCAAAATCAGAGACCAACTGATGACATTTTGGCCTGATGTGATCCCATTGCTGAGCTGCTTTTATCCCTGATCAGGGTGACCAGACAGCAAATGTGAAAAATCGGGACAGGGGGTGGGGGGTAATAGGAGCCTATATAAGAAAAAGACCCAAAAATCGGGATTGTCCCTATAAAATTGTGACATCTGCTCACCCTATCCCTGATGCACAAACCTAGCTGCCTTGGCACACCGTAAGACACAGTGTGAATGAAGTAGTTAAAAACCAAAGTGCCAATGTTAATTTCCATTTCATTTTAAAAAGTCAAGAGAAAAGGACAAATTAATTAGTGGGAACATATTTTCAGAAGATGCTATAAAAACTGCACAATTACTTTACACGATTCTTTTAAATTACTTTTGCATGGAACAAAAAAGTAGGAAGGGTGTGTTTTTAGAAACAACTTTACTATTGTTTAATGGGTGGTTATTGAGGCTTTTCATTTTTAATTAAGGATCCACTCTTAATTAAATCATCTCTTTCAGCATCCTGTGATGTGACTATTTCAAAATTTCAGTATCCTATAAGCAGAATATGCTGTGTAGTCAGTCTGCAGTATTCAGATGCCTCTGGGTTAGAGCATTTTGTAAGTAAAAATATATTATTATGCCATCTAACTATTACCTATCACCAGTGATTTATTTGTGAAATTCCTAGAGGGAGGAAGCCGCCTAGAAATGTCTCAAAGCTGTGTACCGAGGTAAATAATGTGTCATAATATATGTAGCAAACAGTAATGCAAACCACAAAATACATGCAGAAAGGAGTGGAGGAAATACAGTCCCCTTGCGGGCTAGAAAGTTACTCAACATCTAGAGCCATGGCTGGGATGGATAGTTTAGAGGGATGGGAGCCTAGAGGGGTTTTTTTGGCTTCCCCCTCTTACAACTAAAGCACTGCCTGTCCCTGTCAAGCTGCCTCCTTTTCAACACAAGCTTCACTATGCATAAATGTGGGGATGCATTTATTCCTCAAATGGTAGCCCTGTGCCTCCCTTGCCATTCCAATCCTGTCTCAGAAGGAGACAATCTCTCTCTCTCCCTTCTGGATGATTCATTCACTGTGCAGACAGCGCTGATAGAGAGGAGACAGGCTTGTTTGTAATGCCTGAACTGGGCAGTAGCCAGAGGCAGCTCCTGCAGCACAGCTGTGCCTTTGCTGCCTGTTATCCAGGTCAGGCTGCGTGTGCCAGTCAGTCACTCAGTCTGTCTTGTTTCTCCCACCACAAGCAGTGACTAAGCAGAGAAAGGTCTGTATCCTTCTCTCCCGAGCCCCTTTAGTGTATGAGTGATTGAGAATTGGGGGAGGGATAGCTCAGTGGTTTGAGCATTGGCCTGCATTGGCCTGCTAAACCCAGGGTTGTTAATTCAATCCTTGAGGGGGCCACTTAGGGATCTGGGGCAAAATCAGTACTTGGTCCTGCTAGTGAAGGCAGGGGGCTGGACTCGATGACCTTGCAAGGTCCCTTCCAGTTCTATGAGACAGGTATATCTCCATATTAAGAAACCAGTCAGTCTCTTTCCATGCCATTCTGAGTGTCTGGCTGAGCAGACTGATATCTCCTTGCTGTTCTTCCCTTCTAACCCAGGGATGGAAGTGAGCAGGATCAGGTCACTTTGGTGTTCCAGTGCTTCTCTGGTAGCCCCCAGCAGTTTCTGCACAATTTGTTGTCATTTAAAAATCACTAAATCCGTAGCCCTTCTTGCTGTAAAGAAAACCTTCCAAGTGTGAATCAATGCCATTCAGTCTTGTTGGGCCTGTTTACATTAGGCAAGTGTACCACTGCAGGGATAGTAATTACATTAAATTGCTGGTTGTGCTGCTTGTATGTGCAGTAACTCAGGTTTTGGAACACCCATATTGGCATGTCCATGCTCAGTGCACTCTAGACACCATTACTCTACCGGGAGTGCAGCACTCTGAAAGGAACCTCGGAGGACTGGTTGTACAGGTGCAACTACAGTGCCTGTGACTTCCTGTCCACACTGGAGAGGAAAAACAATACACTGTTGCAGCTGAATATGAGCTAATGATTTTCTCTGTGGTGATGCAACTAATCAATGGTTCTAACATATTTACTGCTCTGTGCAGTATTTTGAAGGTATTATACCCTACATTTGATAGCAATTACTTTTTACCTATTGTAGATGGGCCTGTATGTCTATAAAAATTCTAATGTTTAAATCTGAGAGTCATGAATTGCCCCCTTCATCTCAATAGAACCTTGACTCTGAAACATAATAGTGCCATTTTCCCATCTGAGCTGTTTATAGAGAACCAATCGCTGTAGTATATAAGCGCTGAAAATAGTCAAATAAGAGCGGATAAGATCTCTGATTTCCCATTTCTGGAGATTCATCATTTGGATTTTGCTCGATGTTTCATGTGGGGTTGTTTACGTAATTTCCATCACCCCTCCTATTGCTGGCTGGCTTTTGCAAATGAAAAAAGATGGATTTGGCATTGGACTGTGAAAATGGTTAAATCAGAGTGCACTCTCCAAAAGAGCATTCCACTATGCAGGACCTCCCACTAGATATGCATTGCTTCCAGCTCCTGACAGTCTGACAGTGGGCAAATGGAGTATCTCTCTCCCTGATGATCACAGTTGTCTCAGGGAGGAGAGGTTGAAAATGACAAGGCAGCCATTGAAGTAACCTGGTTCAGGCCCATTATAAGCGCTTTAAAGACTATGACAAGGACTGTGAATTGGTCCTGGTATCTGATCGGGTAGAGGGCACAGCACACTCATGTGTTCTTTAAAGTTTACCCCACTCAGGAAGAGGACAACTGCATGTAGAAATTTCATCACTTTCTGAGAGCTTTGAGATCTAAAGAGTAAAAGCACTGAGAATTATTAATAGTAATTCACTGCTGATCATTTTAGTAGCAACATCCAACTGATGTTCTCCTTCCTCTAATTTCGGTATTATCCAGTTCCAAAGGCTAAGCAGCATTATTTGTCCATTATTGCAATGTTTATATTTCATGATCACCTAGACCCTTTCCAACAGAGATCAAGGCCTCAGTGTACTAGGCAACTGGTTCTCAACCAGGGGTACATGTACTCCTGGGGGTACGCAGATGTCTTCCATGGGGTACATCAGTTCATCTAGATATTTGTCTAGTTTTACAACAGGCTACATAAAAAGCACTAGCCAACTCAGTACAAACTAAAATTTCATACAATGACTTGTTTATACTGCTCTATATACTATGTATGTAATGTACATGTAAGTATGATATTTATATTCCAATCAATTTATTGTATAATTATATGGTAAAAATGAGAAAATAAGCAATTTTTCAATAGTAGTCTGCTGTGACACTTTTGTATTTTTATGTCTTATTTTGTAAGCAAGTCATTTTAAAGTGAGTTGAAACTTCAGATATGCAAGACAAATCAGACTCCTGAAAGGGGTACAGCAGTCTAGACAGGTGGAAAGCCACTGCGTTAGGCACTGTACATATTTATAATCAGAGAGGCCCTCCCTTGAAAAGTTTACAGTGGAAGGACACGAAACAGACAAAGAGTGGGAAGGAAACCCAAGGCACAGAGAGATGAAGTGACTTGCCCAAGGTCACCCAGCAAAGCAGGGAATAAATCCCCAGTTTCAGTGGCGTTGGAACAATTCTTATAGTGGGGGGCTGAAAGCCATTGAACAAAACTGTAAACCCATTATCTGATAGAAACCACTTAAAGTCAGGGGGTGCTACTGCACTCCCAGCACCCCTCGTTCCAGCACCCAATCTCCTGAGTCCTACTTCAGTGCCTTAGTCACTAGACCGCACTGCCTTTCAGATAGTTTCATCTCTTTGCAGCCGGTTTAAAGCCTGGCGCTCACCGTACACTTTCCAGAGTCCCTTCTAGTTTTAAACACCCCAGACACTGGGGCTCCTTCCATTTCCCTTGGGAGATCATGCCACAGCCTCGTCGGGACGTTCTTCTGGAGCGTTCTCTGCCTTTGTTCCTAGTTCATCCCATTTCCCCTAGTGCTGCCCCAGGGCACAGCCAGGGTCGGGGGCACGAGCAGATATTGGGCGGGAAAGGAGGGAGCCAGGGAGAGGAAAGGAGGCAGAGGGGCAGCAAGCAAGAAAAGAAGGGCGGAGACAGCACATTTCCCCTCGTTTCGCTCTCCCCCCCTCCTTCAGCCAGGCCTCTTCCTGCCCCTTCCCTCTCCCTCCATCCCTGTCTCTTAATTCCCTCTCTCTCCCCGCCCCTGCCTGACCGGGCGGAGCGCGCCCTCTCCGTCCCTCCCCTTCCCCGCTCGGTCCCTCCCTCTGCTACCCGGAGAGGCCGCTCTGCTGCCGCCGCCGGGAGCGCCCCACGGAGCCGTCTCACGGAGTTGTAGCTGCTCGTCTCCCGGCCCGGCCCTCCCGCCGCCCTGGGACTGGGGGACCTGCCCCAGCCGACCCGGCAGGAGGCGGAGGGGCTCGGCGGCCCCTGAGGTGAGTGTTGCCCCGTCTCCCCGCTTCCCTGCGTCGGGAGCTAGTTGCGGCGAAGCCTCCCCCGGGGGCCTGGTGGGGAGGCCTGCACGGTGGGGAGCGGGGAGGCGCTGGAGCGGCCGCCGGGTGCCGAGCTGCTGGGGAAGGGGGCAGAGATGCTGCCTCCGCCGCCTCCTGCAGCCCCTCGGAGGCCTGGCTATCGCATTTGCCGCTGCCCTTTGCGAGCTGAAGCGGTGGAACCCGCCCACCTCCCCAAGCCGAGTTTCGAGGGCGATTCCGCTCCCTGCAGCCGCCTATGGGTGTAGGAGCTGGGGGATCCCCCTTTGCCTTATCCTCCCCCCAAAGGCTGACCTATTATGTGCTCATTCCTGTGCCTCTGAGATTCCTCTTCCCCCCATGTATTATTCATATCCCTGCTAGGTAGGCTGGCTGGAACAGATTTCATTCCTCCTCTGCAGTTTGCAAAGTGCCCCTGCTCCAAAGAGAGGATTCAGGGGTTTGGATGTTCCTCTTCTCTGCATTTTGCTGGTTTTGTGTCCGTTTTTAACCTAGATTGCTTTACAACCCATTCTTAAAGGAGCTGGCCATAGCATGTGTAGCTGAAATGGACATTAATATATAAAGTAAGACACTAATGTTCTGTGGATTGTTCTCAGATCACAGGAGTTAGACAGTATAAATAATTGGCTGGAGATTTCTTATCCTCATAAGGAATGGATGTCCAGGAGAGGCCCTCCATAACGATTTAAAAAAATATATCATTTTTAGTGTTTAACAGAAAATGCATTGCAACATCCAACAGCTGTAATGCAACCAGCACTTACACCATCACTGACTTAACTGTAGATGTCAGACTGTGCTTACCCTGATGTGATGTCAGACTCCTAATATACATTGCAATGGTCAGTTTAGCGCTGGCTAACGATTCTGGAGACAGTTTTCTGTTGATTTGTAGAGGGGAATCAACATGGACAGAAGTAATGCAGCCTCCCCTTTATTCCCCCCTTAGAGTTGGTTCTGCTGTAGAGGCAGAGAAGGCAGTTCCCTTGGGGGCAACAAAATATTAGGGGCAGCAGAATAATCAGTAACTATCTACAAGGGTGACTGCAGGCTGGTAGGAGTGGATATTTTCCAGTTTGCCTGGGGCAGAGCTAGAGTGGCCACCTTTCCTTTGGAGCTCCAACAATACTTAAACGGATCACCTCTACAGGTTAGAGCAGTAGTTCTCAACTCATGGGCTGCTTGTGGCCCAATCAGCATACAGCTGCGGCCCGTGTGACATCCTCCGGGCCATACAGGTAGTAAATATATTATGTGGATGTAGCCCACATAACACACAGAGCGCTGCATATGTGGCCCACAATGGTAAATAGGTTGTAAACCACTGGGTTGGAGGGTAGTTTGCTTATGTCTGTCCAGTCCTTTGCTTCTTTGCTGAGGCTGCCAGTAAAAGTGTCAGTCATGATGATGACTTTTGTTATGTGAATGTTTGTGCATTAGAAACTAGACTGAGGCAAACAGCTGTTTTTGTATAGGCCCCTAGTAATGACTCTTGGCTTCTACTGACCGGGATGTGGACTGGTGAACTAGGGGTAACTAGAAGCCCAGAGCACTATAGCCTTGTTATTGCACTTTCTTATGTTAGGGGATCCCAAATTATGTTTGTTGCGTTTGGTTTTGGTGTTTATTTTAATTAATACTTCATTATGATATTAAAAAAAAACCTTTTCACTGTTCTGCCATTGATTGAACAGCATTTAAACATAGAGTATATCTTGGGAGGTATTTACTGTGTCTGTTTATTTCCAAAAGGCACAGACATGGATGAAAAGTGTCAGAAATGGCAGTCATGCTCATTCTGGGGTGGGAAAGCCAAAGGAATTTTGCATTGGTATAAAGCTGTAATTTACACCTGTGATGTCAAACACGTGAATGATATATTTTTAGCTAACATGATGTGTAAATTATGGTTTTTGTTTTTATATGTGCAATTGTTTATTTTGAAAATCCTTGTTGTATCATAGAATATTAGAATATTAGGGTTGGAAGGGACCTCAGGAGGTCATCTAGTCCAACCCCCTGCTCAAAGCAGGACCAATCCCCAGACAGATTTTTGCCCCAAATGGCCCCCTCAAGGATTGAACTCACAACCCTGGGTTTAGCAGGCCAATGCTCAAACCGTATAGTTGACTTAATATTATAGTTGGAACAAGATACAACAGGATGTGCTTTTATTATGCAATAATGTTCAGTGGTTGAAAACATTCTGCTTTATCTTGTGCCTGACAGCGTACACTGGGTGTGAGGTTATTACACAGCATCTGCACACCGTGTCATGTTTTGTACAGTACATAATTATGAAAGCATTTACCTTGTGCTAAAATTTTGCTTTTGTTCTGCATAATATCATTATGTGTTGCATACTGAATTTAAAAGAATTGTGTTACTAAAAGTGAGCAACTTCTATATATCTTTCCTGGAGAGAGAGAGTAGCTTAGTTGTTCAAGTCTAATGTAGTTTGTTGTGCAATCACACTAACAAAGTTGACATGATTGTTCAACTTTAGGTAAACAAATTCAGTATAACACAATAGATTAGAATTAATATTAATACAGTTGAGGTGTGTGCTGTACTTTATTGTTGAAAATACTTTACAAAAACATGTTTAAAAGGACATTGTTGCATATTCAAGATCATATTTAGAACAAACTTCTATGCCTTTATCATTCTGTAGTATTACTGATTATATGTATTCCAATAGCACCAACAATGTGTTGGTACCGTCCATACTCACAGGTAGAGTTAGTGCCTGCTCCAAAGGCCCTAACCATGTAAGCTATTGCATGTGAGCAGATCCCTGAAATTGTGTGGAGTCTGATTGACTTGAGTGGGGCTCCATGTGGGCACATACTGATCACAGTGCAGGATCAGGGCCTAAGAAGACAAGCAACATACAATCAAAGGTGTGATTTTGTTTAAAATTAATATACATCAGCTGTACTTGGCAACCCCTCAACATTATGAATTGGCCAGTTTCTTGTAGTTGTCACAGAAGAAGTGTCGTTGGAGGAGCTATTTAAATGAGTGGTCTTATGGATCAGTTCAGGGAAGAAGGTCCATGCCTGGGAGCAGGGTGAAAGAAGATGTGACGATGGCTGTGGGAGAAGTAGACAGTCAAACCTGGCATTATTGGTGGAGCAGAGTTTGGGAATTGATAAGAGATAAGAAGGGAAGAACAGAATTGTGAAAGGCCTGGAAGGTGGTACCAAGAAACTTGAATTTAATGTAATGGAAAAGAGGGGAGCTATAATTATTATTTAGTATGAATTATCTTATGGGCATTACAGTAGTTTGGTGCAATGAATGTCTTTTTCCCCCCTGTGTTTGTACAGTGTCTAGCACAGTGGAGTCATGATCCATGACTGTGGCTTCTAGATGCTAAGTAACATCCAGTTGGGTTTGGGGGCCCTGTTGTGTTAGGTGCTGTACAAATTTAAAGGTAAACATAGTCCTTGTTCCAAAGATCTTATAATGTAAGAATGCAAGAACTCTTATTATCCTATGTGATGGTGTCATTTCTTTTTCAGGGAGAATGGGATGATTTTATTGTTGCCAATGCAAGTTATAGTTTCATTTTGATTTTCATCTTGACATGGGGCCCAGTCTGCTCCCATTGAAGTTAATGGGAGTTTGGCCATTGACTTTGGTGGAGGTAGAATAGAGCCCATGTTGTCACTGTCTCCATGCCCCTGAACATCCTTTATCATAAATTAATGGAACAGCATTAAGTTTTGAACATAAACCCACCAAAGCAACTATGCACCCAAACAAGGCTGAACCCTTATTCTTCCTTGGTTGTGTCTCATCTATGCAGCATGTGTGGTCCTACATAAATGGGTGCCACAATATTAATGCAAATATATTATAGTATTATTGGGTTGTCATGTGTGCAGTTAAGGTTATGTGGTGTACCAGGTGCCCTTTATAAATAGATTGCAATATAGATGAGGACTGTCTGGGTTAGGGGATATTGTCCCGTGATGTAGGGCCCTCTGAGAGGGGACAATGTGTAGTGCAATACCAAAGCCCTGTAATACAGTTGTAATTTTAAAAGCAAATTTTCTTGCAGGTGTGGATCTGTGTCAACTGTATTATACTAACATAGTATTTTCTTGTTTTGCTGTCTTAAAAATATGTGGTACAACCTCATCTGCTGTACAAAACTCTGTCTTTCTAGTTTAAGTGCATGTCACTGTGGTATCTGAGGGCTGGGAGAATACTTTCCCTCTTATCTCTGTACAGAGCAGTAATATGATCGGTAGTACAATACTTAGTGATATATCTCGGACAGAAAATTACAAGCCTTAGCGTTTATGTAAAAAAGCTAACTTAGTCACTTTGATATACAGTACTTGTACTACAGTATTTTCTTCACTACACTTACAATCAAATACCAAAGATACACTCAATTATAGGCATTGTACATGGCTTATTTTATTCAGTGAAAAGATACAAATGCTAAAAATAAAGGCATGAGTTTTCTGCAGCAACATGTTTCTCCTGTACATAGATTTCAGTGGGTTTTTACCCAAAACCAGAGTACGCAAGAACTGCTGTATGCCAAAGAGGGACTTGACCAGTTTTTGTTTGAAGTTTCTCCCAAGGTACATTTTAGTAAGATATCTGCTGTAACATCTTGAGGGATGTATGTCTGAGGAGGGTGGGGAATGGAATTGAAAAGTTGCATTAAGGAGCTTTGTGTTAAGAACCAGAGAATCAAATAAGGAGAGCATCCTTCAAATAAAACCAACAGCATGGTGCCTGAAATTATTCTTTGGCTTAGGTTTCAACTTAATGTTCAAATCATACTGAGAAGATGTGTATCTTACCAAGTTTCATTTTTACATTCCTCTGAAAACAATTCCTTGGAATTGTGGTTTGAAGAATTTCCACTGAAGAGGTTTCCCTGTCGATGATCGAGGGGTACTGTGCGAGTCTTAGTG